GATTTGGTGATGGGAAACCCGTGGGGATTACAATTGAGATGAAAAAAAAATGTGCAAAATGATGTAAAAATAAACTTTTTAATAATTTAAAAAAAAAGGAACTAAGTACTACAAGAATATGTCCTTATTAAAATTTAAATAAAACAAAGTAGAAATTCCCCTTAATATTCCCAAGTCATTCTTGGTGTCTTCCTAGACGTAACTATCTGGTTCAGATTGTTAAGTCGTTCTATACGTTGGTTTGTATGTTTACTTTATTAGAAACAGCTACTTTTTGGGTTTCCCTGGTGGCACAGGTTGAAGACACAGCACTGTCAGCCTGTCACCAGCCACTGCGACATGTTCAACCCCAACTGGCCAGGGAGCTGATCCACGTGGCTCAGCAGACCTCTCCTGCCTTATCTGCCGCTCCCCTCAGCAGTGTATGTCAGTGGATCTGCCTGTTCTGCCCCCCACTCTGGTGAATCCTGTTACCCCCACTACCCACACCTCTGCTTACATTACAGTTTTTATGTGCATAAATAAATTAATATTTTTTAAAAGTAGGTACTTTTGTTTCCTGAACTCTCATCTTTACAGAAAAAATACATTCATTGAAGAGTCACAGACTACTATATCCCAGGCATTGTTCTAGATTACTGAAGTAGTAACCAAAATCTCTGTCCTCGGAGAGGTAATACTCTAATGGGTGAGCCTGACAATAAGCAAGATAAATGAGTAAAATGCAGAGTATATTGAGTGCTGAGAAGAGAAGGGGTGATGTGAAGTACAAGGGAGGAGAGCAGATGAATGTTTAAGTAAGGTGATCAGGGAAAGCCAGGCTGAAAAGGTATTTCTGAGTGAAGATTTAAAAGGAAGGGAAGGAACTACCCATATGAACGCCTGGGAAAACCTCTGTGGGCAAATTAAACAGCGAAGACAGTGTGGCTGAGTCCGCAGGAGCAGCAGGAAAAGAGTGGTGGGGTGCAGGCAGTGGCACGTTGGGCTGTGGCAGTGAGGACTTCACTGTGTCACTGGACTATGATGAGCAATAGTGACACGGTAAAATTTATGTTTGAACAGAATTATTGTTTGCAGTAATTGAGAATAGATTGCAGCATGCTTGGACTGAAGCAGGGATATTAGGATATTGCAGCTCTACAGAACATAGCCTACAATTTGTTGTATTCCTTAAAAAGATTTTATGTATGCACATAAGAGCTGGGGTATTGGCCAGAGGTGTGGGGTGGGGTGGTGAGAGGATTCACCAGAGACAGAGAGGGAACAGAACAGGCACTTGGACTGAAATACACTGCTGAGGGGAGCAGCAGGCGAGACAGGAGATGTTTGCTGTGCCATGTGGGTCAGCTCCCTGGCCAGGGATCGAACTCATGCTGCAGTGGCTGTGGACAGCTTCCTAGTGCCACATCAAAACCCCTTAAGCCACCAGGGAGGCCCTGTTTTTGCTGTTGTTGTTCACTAATAATATGTCCTAGAGGTGATTTCATGACCATATCTAGTGTTCTACCTTTTCCCTTATGTCATCTGTTTTTTCATAGAATAGATTATATTTTTATAATAAACCACTTCTTGGTTGGTGGATATTTAATCATTTCCTGTACTTTACCATTACAACCAAGGCTCTGATGAAAGTCTTTGTATATAGCTCTGTATGTGTATGTTAATACCAAATCTAGAGTCATCAATGATAATTCATATTGACGGTTTTAGTACTACTGAATTAAGTTTATTTGGAGGAGAACCAAGTCTCAGATCTAGGAACACATCTTTCTGTGTTACAATTTTTGTCACATAGATCTTATATTTTCATTATTTAAAATATATCAACAGCTGTTAATTTTCATGTGCTGGATTCATTTGATTCTCAGATGTTTCTTTTATTTTTCTCTAGTGACTTCTTGCTTCTGGTTTTGAAGGACATTGTGATACAGAAGCCAACTCTTCAAGTTATTCTAATGAGTGCAACTTTAAATGCTGAGCTCTTTTCAGAATATTTCAATTCCTGCCCAATTATTACTATACCAGGTAATTAAAATATATCATTAAATACATATTATTCTTATACAAAAATAAATGTTTTAAAGGTCATCTGAGACATAAATTAGTAGGTCTTTATACCTCTTTCTAGACAAGAGGTGATTAGTTGTTGTGTGTTTTTTTTTTTAAGATTTATTTATTCATATAGAACTGGGGTATAGGCCAGAGATGCGGAGGGTGAGAGAATTCACCAGAGACAGAACGGGGAGTAGAACAGGCAGATCAATGAAGTACACTGCTGAGGGGAGCATTGGGCGGGTCAGGAGAGGTCTGCCTCGCCATGTGGATCTCCTCTGGGACAGGCGGCAATCGAACTCATGTGGAAGTAGCTTAAGCTTCTTAGTGCTGTGCTTTAACCTGCTGCGCCACCAGGGAGGGCCGGTGATTAGTTTTTATCAAAATTGTAACCATATAAAATCTTCACAAAAGGTAAAATTCATTTGCTGGGAGATTTCAATTATTTATGTGCTTTTGAAAAAGTATAGTCTTTCTAGCATTCCACCTTATGTAATTACCATCAAAATATTAGTTTATAGTGGTGATTTGTCATAAAGAGGGAAGTGATATGTATCATAAAGAGGGAAGTAATATGTAGTGTAGCATGTCTTCATTGCTGGATTCAGCAAATTTATAGATACTGGTTCACTCTGAGAGAAAGGAAAGTTGCATCATCTGTATGTTCACTTGGTGTTTGCAGTGTCATTGTGGAAATAACTGATCACCCTGGGCTTTGATTTATTCTTCTCTTATTGTTTGCCTAGGAGTAATTTGGAAGCACTGACTGATGAATGATAGTGCTATTTGTTCTAGCTGTGGAGAGTATTGACAATAGATTTAAAGAAGAGATTATGTCTGTAATCGAGAATATAATTGTTGAATGTTTAGAGTCCCTATGAGAGAAGAGGAGAGGGTGGGAAATGTTTAACACTGTTTAAAAAAAGAGGAGTAAAAAAAGTCTTATGGGCAATTAATCCACCAATATGCATCTATTTGTTTTGCTAATAGAATATCCCTCTTCCAGTTGCTATCAAAACCTTTTTTTTTCCATACTTTTAAGACTGTAAAACAAATAGGACCTTACTATACTAAGCTTTGTTTTAGAAGAATTTTATATAGACAATCTATTTCCAGATAATCAAATTGGTATTCTGAGACTTCTATTTTCTTGTTTTTCTAGGTCGTACATTTCCTGTTGATCAGTTTTTTCTGGAAGATGCAATTGCTGTGACAAGGTAAGGAAGATATTAGTTACAGCAATAGGTCAATGAAAGTCTTAAAAACAGAGTTATGTCTTACCTAGTTGAGCTGAGACACTAATAAATGTATTAATTTTTTTCTCTATGTTTCTCCCTTTCAGCAAATATTTATTACAAAAATTACTTGCAATTCACAGGCCATATTATTTATTAGGAGTACTGACTTTGGAGCCCTAATATAAGCTCTGGACTTTGGATGATAATATGTGTTGATGTGGGTTCAGCAGATGCAACAAATGTTCAGTTGTGGTGGGAGGTGCTGGCAATGCCAGAGACTGTGCTTGAGTTTGGTCAAGGGGTGATATGGGAACCACTATACCTTTTACTCATATCGCTTTGAACCTAAAACTGCTCTAAGAAGTAAGGAAGTATATGGAGAATTTAACATTTTTTAAAAAAATACTGATTCTCAACGTTTCTAGGGTACAATTTTTTGTTTGAATGCCAGTCATTCCAGAACATGTTCTTTCGTTCTGTGTCATTTCAACAAGAGTAATCTATCATTTCATGTTAGGGAAGGAAAATAAGAAATGGTTAGGGAAGGAAAATAAGGAATGTAGGAATGTGAAATATTTCCATAGCACTCCAAAACCTGCCCACTCCAATGGCTGAAAGCAGCCCTATTCTTTTTTTAAAAAAGGTAACTGTCCTACATACTGTCAAATGGCTAGTACAGGGCATAATTATGTTCTGCTTTCAGTGGAAATGAATTGCTAACTCAATATAATTTATTATTAATTAGGAAACTATCTCAACTGTAAATTTAATGTTTGAAATTAAGTTACTTATAAATAACATTCTCAATAAAAGACAAGAATTAACTCAAAAAAAAATACTGAATCTGTAAATTGCTTAGATCTTTCGACTTAATAACCTAAAACATTCATCAGTAGCTTAACCTCTCTGTGACTCAGGTTCATCTTACATAAGACGGTTATATTAGTAGTAGCTGCTTCACAGTGTTATGAGATTAATTAACTACTACTTGGAAGCATTTGAGTTGGATGCTCCCAGCTCAACATACTTACAGAAAACTTAGAACTGTGCTTAGTACATAGTAAATGCTTTATAGATGCTAACTACCTTTATCATTCTACCTCAAGGAGTATGCAGTAATATAGTGTTAAGATGTCTACAGAATTTCAAGACTACGTAGAAGTTGGTAGTGTCAATGGATGCAAACAGATTTCTTTCCTTTGAAAGCCGAGTTTCTTCCTACTTTTTGACCTTGAAGATTCCCCAGGGTTTTATATTTGCACATTATCCTATTTCTTCTGGCTATTAAACTCTTCCTGTGCTCTCTGAGACTCATGTGATTTCAGCTTACACCTCTGTGTCAAGGTGAGGAAGAGGAGAAAGGAATAAAGACAGTAATAGTACGGCATGATCGAGAAACAGTCCTTAGCTTAGTAGTACTGAGCTTTGTGTGGAATAAATGTAAAGGAAACCAAGTGGAGGCTGATGTCTTGTGTGAGGGAGGCCTCGCATGTCCACATAATGAAGGTAGTAGGGAGCCAATGAAAGTTTTTAAGAAGAAGAGGGATATAATTAATTCTGTGTTTTAAGATAATTCTGGAGGCAATGAGTTTGAAAAAGAGGATAAAGATAGGTTAATTAGTTAAAAGATGATTTCCCCTGAGAGTCATATTCAGTGGAAGTGGAATAGAGCCCTGAAAATAGTAATTTTAATAAACTCCCTAAGTATGCTTACTGCACACTAAAGATTAAAGGTTTGAGCTCGAAACTACTGTATCATTAAATAAATATAGAATTGGGAAGGAATCTTATTAAGAATGGAAGGAACAAGGAGAAGGAGAAAATTGCTGTGTTGAATTTAAGGGGCCAAACATTTCATTCTGAATATGAGGTTAGGGTCTTCCCTGTTGGCGCAGCTGGTCAAATTGCAGCACTGTGAAGCTATCTGCAGCCACTGCAGCACCAAATCGATTCTCAACCTGGAAGCTGACCCACATGGCACAGCAGACCTGCCTGCTGCTCCCCTCAGCAGTGTATTTTTGTCAGTCTGCCTGTTCTGCCCCCTACTCTGTCTCTGGTGAATCCTCTTACCCCCACCCCTTATCTCTGGCCTGTATTCCAGTTCTTGTATGCATAAATACATAAATCTTAAAAAAAAAAAGAAAGAAAGAAAAAGATGAAAACACTGGTCTGGGCTTCTTGACAGACACAGAGGTGATAGCTGAAATCACATGAGTCTCAGAGAGCACAGGAAGAGTTTAATAGCCAGAAGAAATTCAGGTCAAAAAGCAGGAAGAGGCCCTCCCTGGTGGTGCAGCGGGTTAAAGCACAACACTGAGAATCTAAAGCCGCTTCCGCATGAGTTCGATTCCCGCCTGCCTCGGAGGTGACCACATGGCGAGGCAGACCTCTCCTGACCCGCCCGCTGCTCCCCTCAGCAGTGTACTTCGTAGATCTGCCTGTTCTGCTCCCCACTCTGTCTCTGGTGAAGCCTCTCGCCGCCCCTGAGCCTCTGGCCTGTACCCCAGTTCTGTATGAACAAATAAATAAATCTTTAAAAAAAAAAAAAAAGGCAGGAAGAAACTCAGCTTTCAAAGGAGAGAAATCTGTTTGTATCCATTGATACTACCATCTTCTGTGTAGTCCTGAAATTCTATAGACATCTTAACACTGCATACTCCTTGAGGGTGGAATGAGGAATGATAATGGTAGTTAGCATCTCTAAAGCATTTACTATGTACGAAACACAGTTCTAAGTACAGTTCTAAGTATTTTGCAAGTACGTTAAGTTGGGAGCAGCCAACTCAAATGTTTCCTCCATGAAGTTTCCTATTTTCTTTCATTTGAGATTAAACATTCCTTTATTAGATGTCTTAAAGTACTTTCTGGTGCTTCTAATGACATCTGTTTCCATGTATCTGACAGTATGATAAGTTGTTTGGTTTATCTACCCCTACTAATTTGTCATTTCAAACTTGAAGGAATATTCATTTTATGTACCAAATCACCCACATACCTCCATATTTACTTGCTCAGAGTAAAAATTCAGTAAATGTTAAACAAGCAAATGTTGACTGTGAAAGGAGATTGTGGCATTAGATGGAGGGAAGAGATTGGAGGGAATCAAAATTATAGACTTTGAAACTATTTTAAGCTACAATTATTTACTGACTTTAACTGAAATCTTACAAGAAATTATAAAGAAATGAAAGCTAAAGGAAAAGCGACCTGGTTGGAAAAGATAGAGGGGAGGACAGGGTTTCCCACTTACCAACTGTGCTCTTATCCCAGACCCTCTGCTGAGACTGAGAAACCTTTAAGGTTCAAGGAAAATAGTTTCTAATTTCTTATTAAGGTCAGTTCTCTCAATACATGAAATGATTTGTTCAAAGTTCCATGGGGCCTCCCTGAGGCCTAAGAGTTGGCTAAGTGTCAGCGCTGTTACTGCTGTGGTCTAGGTTCGATCCCCAGCCCAGGAGCTGACCCACACAGCGCAGCAGACCTCTCCTGTCTTACCCGCTGCTCCCTTCGGCAGTGTACTTCAGTCAGTACTTGTTCTGCTGCCCATTCTGTCTCTGGTAAACCCTCTCACACCCTGCACCTCTGGCCTACACCCTAGTTCTTCAATGCAAAAATGAAACATATATATATATGTGTGTATATATATATAAGTCCACACAGCAGGTTGATTTAGTGGCAGATACAGAATTCAAAGACAGATCTTCGTATCTCAATTTTAGTCATTATTCCAAATAGTAAGTCAGAGTTTTGAAGTGTTTTAAGCATAGTCAGTTGCCTGGGAATTATAGTTGAAGCTATGGAAGTGAATAAAATTACCAAAGAAGAAAATAAAAAAGGGATAGTACTGAAGTACAATTTGAATAAATTTTCTGAACACCCATGCCACTTTTAATGGGTAGAATCTTTCCCCAAGGTCTTACCTGATCTCCTGTCTTTTAAGTCAAGCAGTGCCGAAAGCATTCCAGTGTCTTCCCCACCAGAAATCAGGCACAGCCAGTGGAATCCTGGACTGAGAAGAAGCACTCATGAATTGGGTCGAAACAGGCCACCATGTGCTGATCGGGCACATGCAATAGGTGAATGTGCCTCCCTCCAGCAGACCCTACACACACTCCTTTGTTTCCCTCCCTCAGATACGTGCTACAGGATGGGAGCCCGTACATGCGCTCCATAAAACAGATGGCAAAGGAAAAGCTTAAAGCAAGGCGCAGCCGAACGGCCTTTGAAGAAGTGGAGGAGGACCTGCGGCTCTCCCTTCACCTCCAGGACCAGGATTCTGCCAAGGATGCAGTGCCAGATCAACAGTTAGATTTTAAGCAGCTCCTGGCCCGCTATAAAGGTAATGTGCATCATTCCTAGGAAACATAGCCATGCCAGAGACTTCAAGGATTTTCCCCACCATGATCCTGAAGAAAAAATATGGTTCTTGTTTCATAGCTGCTTTGTTTTAAATTCATCAGCGCAACCTTAAATCTAGAAAGTAGCAGTTCTATCACATAGAGACTGTAGTTATTATAGCTACCAGTGGGTTTATTTCTGTGCATAAAGAAATGTGATATAGTAAAATATGTTTTTAAGTCATTTGCAACCTTTTATTTTGTTATGATTCAAATTTACAGAGACATTTGTAAGACTATGCAATGAATTTTCATATATCCTTTACACCAGTTTGCCAATTGTTTGTTAATATTTTGCTTCCTTTGCTTGTCACTTGTTCTGTATGTATACAGATATTTCCTGAATCTTTTGAGTGAAAATTCCAGCTATGATGTCCTTAACCTGTAGCACTTCATTTAGTATATATTTTCTAAGAACAAAGCCATTACTTTATATTTCAATAGTACATGGTCAAAATGAAAACAATTGACAGTGATGCAATACTATTATTTAATCCACGGTGTGCACACTAACTTTGCTGGTTATCCCAATTATGTCCTATATTGCTGTTTTTCCTGACCTGCAATATGTATTGCATTCATTTGCCATGCTCTTTAGTTTTCTTTGATCTGGATTAGTTCTTTAGCCTTTGTCTTTATGATCTTGGCATTTTTAAAGAGCTCAGACCAATTATTTTGAACTGTTCCTCCATTTGAGCTTGTCAAATGTGTCCCAATGATTAAAGTTAGGTTATGTGCTGTTGGCTAGAAAACCATAGAAATAGAAACTATGGAGACTCCTCAGTGCATCCTGTCAGGAGGCACAAAATGTTGGCTTGTCACATTACTGGTCACATTAACTTGGTCACTTGGTTAAGGTGAATGACGTCTGGTAGGCTTGCCCCTGTGTAGTTGCCATTTATTCCCTTTGAGTAAGTCAGTCATTTTGTGGGGAGATGATTGACAATAAAGATCCCATAACAACCTCAATATTTCACTACTTGTTGGAGTTTATTCATGGCTGTTTAGATGGTCTAGTGTGAGGGTCCACTCTATGCTGAGCCTCTTCATACATGGTGCCAGGTGTTTCCTTCTCCATTCCAGACCCCATGAGCAGCATGCTCTTCAGTCCCGTCTAGTCTTCTATACACATAAACTGGGCTGACTGGGCTGACCCCTGGAAAAAACCAAGGTTACCTCCTCTTTTGCTTTCTTCCTGCAACCTAGGCCAGAGGCAGTTTTGCACTGCCTTTTCTGCTCTTTTCCCTGGACTGCCACTCCAGGTCTTTTTAGTCCTTCCAACCCCCCCCAGAAGTACTTATCTTGCCACGAGCAAGAGCTCAACTCCTACTACTGCTTCTACACTACAAGAGGCAGGGGCGTTCTTTCCTCCTTCCTGGGAAGATTGTCTTCCCAATCTGGATGGGAAAACCTAGTCTTCCCAACATAGTAAAGTTAAGCGCATGGACCTGTATCTTACAGACCTGGGTTCGACTCCCAAGGCTCTCATAAAATCAGCTCTATGATCTTGAGCACGCTCCTATCATCTGTATACCTGATTTTCCTATCTGAAAGTGGGAGTCCACAGCATAATGCAGAGTTGTGAGTCCAATTAAAATATGTCTGACTCAGCTGTTGATGTTCTTATGTTCTTTCTCTGTATCATACTAGCTGACAGTTCCTTTTTCCTGATTCTGTTAAACTGTGGAACAGGAAAATCCCTTAGTTTCTCTTGAAATTTCAGGGTTACATTTAAAGAGTTATAACTGTATGTAAGCCAAGCTTTTCTAATTTCAGGGATAGAAGCTACTGAAGTCCAGAAAGCTCCTCTATGGACTCCTTTCCAAGGAAAAAGAAGGGAGAATTTGAGGTCTAGAGACCTGATTCTGCCACTAGCTACTGTGCGATGCTGGGCTGATTAACCTCTTAGCTCCTGGAAGCCTTCTTTCCCTGTGAGGAAGCACTTGGTCTCCTGGATCTCAGTGCTCTTTACTTTTCAGAAAATAAAAAAATTTCCTAGCTCAATTCTTAAACTTTTCTAGCTTTAAAAAAAGATAATGAGCCTTTTAAAGTGTATACTGATTAGTAACAACTGCTGAGTATTTAAAAAGTAAAATAAAGTATATTTTATTTCTCATCTTTTCTTCAATTAGCTGGTCCTCTTTCCTTTTTGAAATGACTATTTGGAATCTTGGCAAGTAAAAGCCATTCTTGTCCTGCCTCCCACTCCAACCATACCCTTGTTTGTGTAGCTTGTTTCTTCCTTTCATTTTTGGACAGTGTAGGATTGGCCTTGCTCCCAATTACATTTATTTGATTTGGTTAAACTGTACTTAGGGTGATGGGCCCCTGGGAGGACTGAAGAAGAAAGGGGAACAGTCTTTAGAGAGTTAGTCTCCTTAAGAATGTTATTTGTTTTTCTGCCTCATCCTTGTTTGTTAGGAAAAAGTTCTAGTGGTGGGGAGAACCTAGATGTCACCACAATTAAAAGAATAAATTACTGAATGAAAGGATGAATAAGAATACCAAAAAAGTAAGTAAATAAAATTGTAGTTGAGTATGGAGAGATTAAAATAAAGCATATTGTATGACTGTGAGCCACACAGAACAGGAAATTGTAAGCCTGCATCACTGCTCAGCAGGAGCCTTCTCGCAAGGTTCAGTGATGAATTGGAATAAGTGCATGTGCCGAAAAGACTGAAAATGTGCTCTTCAGAGAAAATTTGTAGCATTTAATTAGACATTAAATTTCCAATGATATGTCAGTATAAAATAACTACAACCGGTTTATGTTTTATGGCTAAAGAAAAGAATGTTATTTGTTTTTAAGTGAGCTGAGGCTTATCTGATAACCCCAACATGTATCTTTTTTTTAAAAGATTTATTTATTTATGCATACAGAACTGGGGTACAGGCCACTGAGAGGATTCACCTGAGACAGAGTGGGGAGCAGAACAGGGAGATGTACTGAAATACACTGCTGAGGGGAGCAGCGGGCAGATAAGGAGAGGTCTGCCACACCATGTGGGTCACCTCCCTAGCAGGGGATCGAACTCATGCTGTAGTGGCTGTGGATTGCTTCATAGTGCTGTGGCACCACCAGGCAGGGTCCCAAAAATGTATCTTTTACTGGGCCTGAGTTGTGTTACATTGAGGGTCTTTGGATAGACCTCAGGGGTGCTGTGAAGCCATTAAAATCACATGTATTTTTCAGGGAAGATTTATATTTGTATTATTTTTTCAAAGAAGCCTAAAGAGTCACTGTTGTAGGACCCTCCCTAGTGGTACGGCAGGTTAACGCACAGCACTGTGAAGCTGTCACAGCCACTGCAGCATGGGTTCAATCCCCGGCCAGGGAGCTGACCCACATGGCACAGCAAGCAGACCTCTCCTCCCACACCTGCTGCTCCCCTCAACAGTGTATTTCAGTGGATCTGCCTATCTTGCTCTTCACTCTGTCTCTAGTGGGTCTTCTCACCTCTGTATCTCTGGCCTATCCTCCAGTTCTTGTGTGCAAAAATAAATCTTTTAAAAAAAAAAATAGTACTCCAAGAAACATAAAACAAAACCTTCTTTGAAAAACAAAGTCACTGTTGTAGAGGTACAGTGACAACTGTGGTCACTACCCCTTGATTTCCAGGGGTTACTGTTACCCAGACTTCTCCTGGTCTGACTCATGGTTTGATTGAATCTGGAAGGGGTCTCTAAAATGTATTTGACTTTGAATTTTGTTTCTAGAACATAAACTGTCAATATGTGTGTAATGAATATAAGGGGAAGAAATAAGGAATGTTAAAAGTGGCTGGTAAGTGTCTTTCTAACAAAGGCAGATATCTCTGGGTCATTTTTCAAGCAGATAGTATTTATAGTGTGCTGTGTTTTCTGAGAGACTGAAAGAAAAAACTTCATTTTGGTGCATTAATGTAAATGTGTTATAAAATCAAATAAAGACATTAACCTTATTCACAGGCAGGTTGGATTCCATATGTGTAATTATTCTGATTTTTACCTTTGTTTCAGGGGTTAGCAAGTCAGTCATCAAAACAATGTCTGTCATGGATTTTGAGAAGGTTAATCTTGAATTAATAGAGGCCTTATTGGAGTGGATTGTGGATGGAAAACACTCCTACCCTCCAGGTAACTGCTTCCTGCCTTCATCTGTGTGAAAGATGGCAAGAGGGATGGGAGCTTACTTACTGAGATAATGAGCACTAAGATGACAGCCTCCTGGAGTTTTCCCTCATTTCCTTACCTTTTTACCCAGTTGCTTGCATACTTTGCAGAGGGAAATTTTACCTCAACTTTTTGAGAATCACTCGGAGCAGAGATGTTAACAATTTGCAAAGTCCAAAAAGAAGAAAGCCAAAAAGAAGGCCTAGATGATTCACATATTAAATGCTCAGTTCTGGGTGGCGCAGGAGTTATAGTCTCAGCACTATCAAGCTATCACCAGCCATGAAGCATGAGTTCCATGTGTGGCCAGGGAGCTGACCTGCATGGGGCAGCAGACCTCTCCTGTCTTTCCCACTGCTCCCCTCAGCAGTGTATTTTAGTAGATCTGCATGTTCTGCTCTCCACTCTGTTTCTGGTGAATCTCTCACCCCCCACACCTCTGCCCTACACCCCAGTTCTTGTATGCATAAATAAGTAAAAGTATAAATATTTAAAAAATAAAAATACATAAATGTTCAGTCCTTGGTTAAATGGAGCCTAATAATGAGTGTTTAAGTCACCTGGAGACTGGCACATGGAGCCACAGTAAAGTGGGGTTAAGAGAACAGGCTTTGTTGCTGATAAGTTCCCCAGCTCTGCCACTCAGCAACTGTGAAACCTTTGATAAAATCTTTATCTTTTCTGTGCCTCAGTTTCTTTGTTTGTAAAATGAAGACAATAATAAATCCCTTTCCATAAAGTTATCTTGAGGATTAAAAGAACCCATATATATGCCCAGTAGATATGACCCCCCATAATGATCACGTACAGTTGGATTCATCCATCGTCATCATGGTTACAATCACCGTCCTACTGCTAACTTAGCACAGAGCAGTCATTTCTTCCCCTTTACTCCCTATCTTCCAGGCCTTCTGGGTGGCCTTCTTAAGCTCACACTTAGGATCTCTTATCCTCAGATCTTATGGCTGAATCCTTCAATACCAAATGTCTTCTCTTCAGGAAGTCTTCTCTGACCACCCTAACTGTTGCCTTACCCTCTCTTACCCTGTCACAATATCCAAAATGATTTCCATTATAGTACTTACTGCTACCTAAAATTACAGTCCTGCTTACTGAGCGTTTTTTTCAATAGAATGTAAGCTCATGATCCTTCTGGACCTCTGTATTCATCGGCTGGAATATTTAGGTTCAGAGTGAGTATTTGTTTCAGGGATAAGTGCAGCCAGTGGAGGTTCATCAGTAAGTGGGATAATAAGTCAAATAAACTGTATTATGCATTCATTCTGCCCATACTTAAAGAAATGAGAGAGCTGCCTTCCTCTGCTTAGACTTCTCAGTTTTTCTACAGAGATGTGTGCTGCAGAAAATGCTTGAAGTGCTTTTTCTTTAGCTCTTGGCAGGGAGCCATTGTTGGCTAATGCATTATCACTGGATTTAATATCCTGTTCCATCCCAAAGGAAAAGCCTGTTGTTGAAAAAAAAAGCAAGTATAACAGCCAAAAAGGAATGCTAGAAAAGTCCCTAAAATCACAGCAGAGTAGACGTAGTGATTAGGAAGTATTCGTATTTGTGGGTATTAAAGATATCCCCTGATGGTCAAGGCAGATGGTCAAGCCATGAAGGCAGAGCAAGTCAGAAGGCACGTCAAATTTGGACAAAAATTTGTTTCCAGGCCTCCCTGGTGGCACAGGGGATTAAGTCTCAGCACAGTGAAGTTATTGGCAGCCACTGCAGCACGAGTTCGATCCCCGGCCAGGTAGCTGACCTATGTGGCACAGCAGACCTCTCCTGTCTTGCCTGCTGCTCCCCTTAGCAGTGTGTTTTCAGCTAATTTGCTCCCCACTGTGTCTCTGGTGAATCTTCTCACTGCCCCCAAGCCACCACACCTCTAGCCTACACCCCAGCTCTTATATGCATAAATAAATAAAATAAATCTTAAAAAAAATAGTTTCCACATATATATAATTCCCATATATAATTTTACCACTCAAAATGAGTGGTGTTTTAATAGAAAGGGCTGCAAGATATGGAGTATAAAGAGCATAGATCTTGTGCTAGAAACCCTCAGTTTATATCCAAGTTCCTCATCCTGGTCATTCTGTGACCTGGCCGAGGTAGGAGGTCATTTGTAAGAGTACTGACAAACTCTGTGGATGTGTGTGGGATCAGATGAGATAATGTACATGAAAAGTTACATACTATGAAGTATTAAAAACACAAGAAATATATTTTTGCTCTTCTTATGTCACACACAGTTCCATTTTTGTAATAATTTAGACTCCTTATTTATTTAGTGGTGAGAATACTGTGACAAATATATCCCATTATACCTTGCACAGAGCTGACTGACATAGGCACCTAATATGTATTTGTGGCACCAGGGATGAGGCTAGTGAATAAAGCCTTATGGTCCGCAAACCATTAATGTGGATGGCATGGCTAGTTAACGCTTCTTCAAGATATTTATGAATTTGTTTTATTTTTTTTAATTTTTCTCTTTTTATATATTTGGATTTATATCACCAGTTGGCCAGCCAATTATAATCTCTTCTATCAAGTAAAATGTTTATGGATTTTATTTACCTACAGCTAGAAGAGTCTTCCTGTTCTATACGATTAGAAGGTGACTCTTCCTCTGGAAACAAAATGTCAGAGGCCAGGGGACTGAAGAAGTATGTCTAAAGTCCCTTGAAATGCTTTGCTGATGACTCTTGTATTACTTAAGGCATTATTTTTTCCCCCACACTTGAGTTTTTCCTGTTGAAAGCTTGAAAAATATGAGTACTTATTTTATAATTATTAAATTAGAAAACACTAAAAACAGTTGGCTATTCATTGGAGACTTTACAAAGAGAAGAAAGTTGACAATGAAAAATTCTCAAGTTATTACATGTTTTGGTTTAAAAGAGCTTTATAATCTTTATTAGATTTTCCTTTTTCCATCTTTAAGAGTGATTCTTTTTCTCTTCCTAGGTGCTATACTTGTATTTTTACCAGGACTTGCAGAAATCAAAATGCTTTATGAACAACTTCAGTCTAATTCTCTTTTCAACAACAGACGCAGTAATAGGTAAGTTACTTGCTTTCTATATCCTTAACATTCACTGCAGTTACATGTGAAGATGAATTGCCAGAAAGGCCTCTGACGCTTATCACCCTCTTTAGATCCTGGTGTCACACCTCAAGAATATGTTTGTTTATGCCAGCTGGAAACAGACAAACCTGCTTGCTCCAGGAGTCAATTTTTTCCATTCCATTAAATAAAAATATTTCCCCTCCTTTAGTGTAATGACTCATCTAACTTGTATGTCATTTCAGTTGTCAGATACAGAAGACAGGAGAAGCCAGTATTAGTAACATCAAAGAAATGTTACCATATTGAGAAAAAAAGAATTTTCAACAATGTGTCTTCAAGTCTAAGGCAAAAATTACTTGATAGATTAACACTCCTTAGAAATATAAGAATATAGTTTCTTAACTTAAGTCAGTATCCTGCCTGCCTCTTTCTGGACTTAAAGTCTGGGAGAAAATGATTCTGTGTTATTTAGTGTGCTTGAGGGTTTACATTTGTAGAATATTGATTATTTATATCTCTTGATTACTTACTGCCAAATTGCAATCTACTCTTTTCCCCAAGTTGATGCAAGGTTTTTAGTTCACAGAACTGAGTAGATGTTTTATAGGCATCAGAATGAACCTTCGAAAAGCTGGGTCCTGAGGACAGTTTATGGAGAAGTTTCACATACTTGGTGTACCATCAGTGATTTTAATAGAATTCTCCCCCTGTAGCCAATTTCAGTGTTACGTATTAGAACACTTAATGTGCTGTGATTTCCTTGCAGGTGTGTCGTTCACCCACTTCATTCGTCTTTATCCAGTGAAGAGCAGCAGGCAGTGTTTGTAAAACCTCCTGTAGGTGTAACCAAGATTATAATTTCCACCAACATTGCTGAGACATCAATAACCATTGATGATGTTGTCTATGTCATCGATTCTGGAAAAATGAAAGAAAAAAGGTACTACCCTTTAGACATGTAAGAGAGGGACTAAAAATGCTCCTTTATTGGCTCATGTTATTAAGCTCTGTAGTTCACAATATGAAAACAATACTTCCTGAAAACTGTTTATGGATGTATGAGTGAATCTACAGCCAGGACCACGAATCTTAAGTCAAACAGAAGTGAAAAGTTTAAAGTGTTTACCCTGGAAATAATTATTTTCCTCTCTTTTTCTCATATTACTTTACCTGTGCTTGAATGAGAAAGAGTTAATATGGGAGGTGATAGATATGTTAATTACTATGGCAATCACTTCATAATGTATACATTACAAAACTTCACAATGTGCACCTGAAAATATACAAGTTTTATTTATCAAAAATAAAAATGAAGAAATTTTTTTTTAATTTGAATGAAGAGTGTACATATAGTGACACTTGATACTTTTAAATCGGTGCTAGGTGTTCCCACCGGGGATTCAGTTATCCCAGATCTCTTAGAATACACTGTCCTTTTGTGGCCATAAGGTGACTCATCTGTTCTGCCCATGCTAAATAAAGTCTTGGCCACCTTCTTATAAAATAACTCTTCTTGACATTTTCTTAATAGATATGATGCCAGCAAAGGGATGGAAAGTCTAGAGGATACTTTTGTGTCTCAAGCCAATGCTTTGCAAAGAAAAGGTCGAGCAGGCCGTGTTGCATCTGGGGTCTGTTTCCATTTGTTCACTAGTCATCACTTCAATCACCAGCTTTTAAAACAGCAGCTACCAGAAATACAAAGAGTGCCACTGGAACAGCTGTGCCTAAGGTATCTCTTGATCTTCGTGCTTTACTTTCAAAGGTGTTAATGTTCCGTGTTTTCTTTTTCTTACTTAAAGACTTTTTTTAAAACGTATTTTTTTATTTATGATACAAGAGCTGGGCTGTAGGCCAGAGGTGCAGGAGGTTCATCAGAGCATCAGAGACAGAGTGGGGAGCAGAACAGGCAGATCTACTGAAATATACTGCTAAAAAAAAAAAGGAATACACTGCTGAAGGGAGCAGCGGGTGAAACAGGAGAGGTCTGATGCAACATGGGGGTCAGCTCTCTGCCTGGAGATTAAACTCATGCTGCATTGGCTGCAGATAGTTTCATAGTGCTTACACTTAACCCCTTGTGCCACCAGGGAGGCGGCCCCCTAAATAGAAGAGATTGTGCAAAGAGTGGCCATGGATGAACTTCATTCATTTGCAAAGAAAGGGCACTTGAATGTTCCTTTACCATTTCTTTTAACTTTTTGCTCATAAAAATGTCTTACACTGCAGAAGATGTTCCTACACTTGTAAGTCAGGAAAGTAATCTAATTTACTAAGAAATTTCTGCTGGGGTAAACCAATATGAAATTATCACAGGGAAAAATCTATAGCTCAGTAAGAGCAAAGAGAACAACTTGAAAACCCCAGTGTTTACCCGATGAACAAATATCATAAAATAGGATGTTATAAACTAATGAGCAAACTCATTATTATTGAAACTGGGAAACATTTGGTTCAACCATTTTGAAAAGTGCTTGGTATTATGGAACTCTAAAACTACCTTTACACTTTGACCAGTTATTTTGAGGGTGACCCAAAATATTCTAATTGAAGAATGTTACAGCTCTTCTTTTATCTAGATGTTATAAATCTTTAATTTTTTAATTTGGATTTTTTCCACATGCAATAAAGATATTATTATTTTGAGAGCCTTCCACTGACCAGGCATTGTGCTAAGTAAGCACCAGGGATACTAGAGAATACAAGACGTAATCCCTGCTTTCAGGTGTCCATGATCAGATCTTAAGAAATTGGGCAAACAGATGTCTTGACCTTAGTGCAAATGAAGAAATGAGAAAGCTATAGAAATCATTTGACTCATGAAGGAGAAAGAGGAGGAAAAATAAAATATAAATGGCACATATGATTTAAAAACAACTCAAGGTCTCCCTGGTGGCTCAGGGGTTAATTCTCAGCACTATCAAGCTATCACCAGCCACTGCAGCATGAGTTCTACCCCCAGTCAGGGAGTTGACCCACATGGGTTCAGCAGACCTGTCCCATTTCACCTGCTGCTCCCCTCAGCAGTGTATTTCAGTAGATCTGCTTGTTCTGCTCCTCACTTTGCCTTTGGTGAGTCCTCTAACCCCCTGCACCTCTGGCCCTCACTCCAGTTCTAATATGCATAAATAAATAAAATAAACCTTTTTTTTTTTAAAGATTTATTTATTCATAGAGAACTGGGGTACAGGCCAGAGATGAGGAGGGTGAGAGGATTCACCAGAGACAGAGTGGGGAGCAGAACAGGCAGATCTACGAAGTA